TGTGTTTTACAAATAGAAAGGGAAAAAAGTAAAAGCCGCCGTTCGCGCGAGACGGCACTTCGTGCTACATTGGCTATTATCGGAGGAACAACTAGTATGCTTATACGTGCGTGCTATATGGGAATGAGCTTGTAAGTTCCCGTCGGGCCCATTCAGTGACTCTGTCAGTCCCCATCGGTGCCCCGTTAATCTTTCAGGAGAAAAAAAATATACGAGACCCTCACACGTACTTATATATATATAAACATATATATGCTCATGATGTTGATGCAGTTTGGTGTTGGAACGCGGATCCTCCGTTGCAAATGACATCGGCACCGCGACGCCGCTGCCAATTGTTTTGCCAGAAATTCAAGGAATCGCTGGCATTCGTCCAGACGATTCGGTGACAAGCGACCGGTAACAAATAATTTTCATATTTCCCGCGTTAATCTACTCGCGCGTCCATCTTATCGCAATCTTCTTTTTTAATACAAAGTTACTCTGAAACCTTTCTTCTTTCTGCTTACGGGTGTATCGTACATACAATATTTTGAAAATATCTATATAGTCATGAGATACGTATAAACATACAGAGTATATTAGCAGCTTTGACATACAAAATAGTTTTTTTTTTTTGTAAACCTTGATCTTCTTGTTACCGCCATGTTAATAAGCATCTGGTACATGTTAATTATATAAATCACTAGTTGAGCGATAGAAATCTGATTATTCAGGATAAATTAGAGAACCGGAGGAAGGGAGAGGGAGAGGGAGAGAGAGAGAGTAAAAAGTATGACCATCCCGTCGGGATGTTACTACTTCGTACGAGAGATAATGAGTCTGCGACAGACTAGTTTTACTTATCTGAGTGTGACTTTGCATAAGCCGATATTCAAAATGAGTTCGTTTGCATGGATAAGTAACTGAGGACTTTTCGGAACGGTTGGAAATTAAATGAAATACGAATGAGATTAGACAAAGATTGGAGAACTTGGTTAAATTAACAGAGATAGGTTTGGAAGGAGTTCGAGTCTGTATTTGTAGAAATTATTTTGAAATTGGCAACCGGTACCTAAAATTAGGTTAGCCTTCGAAAAAGAAAGAAAAAAAAAACGAACAACGATTTTCACGAAATATATAAATCGGCTTAGACATATAATTTTTTCCTTTCGTTCAATTTAACAAAAAAAAAAGAATATCAAAGGAAAGCAGCAAACAATTTTTTGTCAATGAATCATCAGACGTCATTATATTACTTTACACAGTATATAAAACGTCTAATAATTAAGCGTACAAAGCCCTTTGGATAATTGCGTATACATATCTAACGATGATACTCTTCCTACGTCCACCATTATTACGGGACGTAAGTATACATAGTTAAATCAACTAATCTAAGTAAAACCCGTCATATTACAAGTGCCAAGAATGTTAAAAAAAAAAAGACAAAGATATGCAATACGACAGTATAATAAGATAGATAAAAGCGAATAAATTTCAAAGAAATTAGAAAACAATCGAATCGCATACCGATTAAAATATCGATCGATAATCGAACGTACCTGAATTCATCCGTCTACGCAATACCGACCGTCGGTATCTCGATGACGTTGATCACGATCTAAATTGAGCTCCTGCATACCAGGAAAGCAGCTCTTGAAGGAGTATAAGCTACCTTCGACGTAATATCAAACATCGTCCAGGATACAATTTCCATGTGAGCCGTACTCACAGAAATCTACGAAGTTACGACGAATTCGGTGTAACGCTAACTGTACAACGAGTACTTGACTGTCGCGTCACGTGCGATTCAACTGTTCAGCATTCAATGCGCGAATATCGTGATATCCTTACGCGGCGGTGTGATAAACAAGACCTACAGCTACCATTGTCGCCCGTGCAAGAGTTTACCACGTACAATATATAAATGGCGACTGTACATATACAGAATGGGTAGAAGGGAGAGAAGAGTGGACTGGAGTGATAAAAATAATTTTTTTTTCCCTCAATGCCATAAATTATCCGAATCACGTGAAAAATCAGAGAGGAACCGTTTTACATATTTTTCGAAATCGCCTCTTGGATTCACGTATAGCTGGTGCATCGTGGTCAGATAAGATTCGCGAGATTTTCGCGAACGTCCGCAGTAACGCTGAAAGACGTTAAAGAAAGTAGACGCGGCGTGAACTGTCGAATACGCTCCTGCGTATCCTACGCCTACTCGATGTCGGGACTGTAGACGGATTATTAATAACACCGTACAAAGGAGTGGGTAATTGTGCTTTTTCATATGTCTCTCCCCTTTATTTGCCGGAACGTCACGTGGAGAGAAATCGCCAAGAGACGTATGATTGGGCTAGGATGGAAATATGTATTATACGATGTTATAATAGAAATTCGTATATCCCGACGAGTTCACTCTACGAAGATAAAGCTTCCGTTGTGAGATGATAAGGCGAATCTCACGAAGATTACACACAAGAATTTTTCGTATTAACCTTCCACAGCGGTGACGACGTCCACGCGCCTAGGAACGTAGACTGAAAATTACGACTAGGAGCACCTAGACTATAGTCTGTCATGCACGTGGCCTGGCGGAACATTCCTTACGGTAAGAAAAAGGTCGCCGGTACCTGAGGGATTAAATATTTCGAGAATCGGGAGAGAATCTTCGAAGGGTATAATTTCAAGGTCGAAATTATGTTTTTGATCCTCGTAATTTCTCAGGTAATTTCGACTGAGCGAACTCGTTAAAAAATATCAAAGTCTTATACAATGCGAATAGAAAGCTTTTTTCAAATTCTTGTATAAATTTCCGAGCTCGGACATAAACCACTCGTGTTCTCAAGACACGTGTAGCTCGAGCGACGAACGAAAGAGAAATGGAAATATCATAGTGAAAAGAAGAAAAAAATAGTTGTAAAACTCCTTGTAAACGAAATCGTTGAGTAACGATGCTGGAGTGCAAGATGTGCACGAGGAAAATTAAAATAGCGGACTAACGAGTTTATTTACATTTGTTTGCTGAATACGAGCGCGATTTCGCATGCCTTGACGTAAGTGACGAGAGGTGTGGCCGACAAATATTGTTAGTTTTAGTATCGCCGGTTCGGATATCTACAAGAAGATAGAGCACGCGGCTAAGCGAATTGACCTAAGTTCGCAAGGAATTAAAAAATATACAGCGATGTAACAGTCCAATAGAAATCGAATTATAATCCACGATGAGTTCATATAGATCGAGACTCTTATCAAAGCAGCGACGAAACAAGCGTCGGGTAGCTTCTTCTGATAACGCTTATCTCGTACATTCGGTTCCTATGAAAAAAATCTGTCAATATATCTATATATATCATAGTTACGGACACACCTTCAAATGATGGGACCTGCTCGATCGATTATTGATTATTGAAGGATTAATTTTAAAAATCCTTAGATCGTGGACTGCATAAAACTCTAACTCGTATGTATGTATACATGCAAATATATATATGCGTGTCCTATTTTAAAAATCAAGACGTGTCGTGTTATGAATCAATTAATTTGCCTACTGTCAATGAGAAAGCACGAGTGTACGTGTGTCATCGTGGATTGAAACGCCCTACAGAGGTACTGATGATCCTAATAGAACCAATGACAAACCCAGATGCAATTCGGTATTACAAAGCGCAGGCAGTTCCGAGGCTCATGGCACAATCGATTGCACCGATATAATACAAATCCATCAGGCTGCTGATGTCCTACTGTCCGAAAACAAGATTCTCGAAACGTCCCTGAATTTCATGGGTTCGCTGGGCGACAGGAATACTGATACCCAGGGATAGCAAATTTTGATGAAAATCATAATCGAGAAGAATTCAAGTTATGAAGTCCGTATGTCATTGTATTTATTTTTACTGTAGCGAATACGGGGTCATGTGGTATAGAAATAATTAGATCGATATAGAAGAAGATCGGGACACGAAATTTTTAGCATTAAATGATCGTCGGTTACTATGATATTTTTCGTTTGAGACTTCTAATTTTCCATGGAATGGACCACAGAATAAGATGGCTGAGAAACTACTTTGTTAGCCCGATCTAATGGATTTATAATGTGCATACAAGTTGGACGATAATACTGCTCGTGGTTTCATGTAAATAGGTGTTGTTTGTGCATCAACATTATTGCGATTATCTGTAGCCTTGAGTGGAAGTAATAAAGCTGAGGAGCACGCACGTATAATATTACGCGAAAGAAGATGGATGTTTGATGCAAGTGTTGATCATTCAAAAGGATGTTTCAGTAAAATAGTCTGATATAATTAGACGTGAGCAATGCGTGTTTTCATCTACACGTATTCAAGAGTCTGATGACCGGCAAGCGGCCTCGAATTCACAGAGCGGATGATGGACTTTATCAATTGATTTGGCATGCTACTGCACGTGGATAAAGAAGAAATCTACTAAATTAACAGAACAATTCAAAGTCGACGATGATACAATAACTCTGCCATTACCGACTGCAGGTCAAACGCAAAACAGATAGCAGTGGATCAGAAAGAAATTCGCAAAAGTTAACCTAGCCATTCGGGCGGTTCTACCTTACCGACGGCACCAATAGTTTGTCACTCTTTTCCCTTAGTTTCCATACAACCAATTGGTTATTTCCGTTTCGACAAACGAGATGCCTGATCGAATCACGCAGATTTCGCTCCATCGTGCTTCGCTCTACTATTCGGATTGTCACAGAAAAAAAAAAAAGAATGAATGATTCAACATAATGACGATGATTCTGCCTAGGACAAATAGCAGCAAGAGTTGCGTACGTGATGGAACTCACGATGTCACTGTCGGATATAACCTGAGCTCGAAAAGTATGATGAAACGAAGCAAAGGCGAACTCGGTAATGAAGTTCCACAAGTCCAATTACATTACGAACTTTACGCGACCCCATTTTACAGGGGTATAAATAAAATTAAAAAAAGAGTCCTGAAATCTCCAAAACAAAAGATACAAGAAAAATTCGGAAACTTACTCCTCGTGAATCTCTAAATAGAATGGCGGCATGTACAGGATCCAGCAAGGCATCGGAAGCTCTATGGGGAACAGCCGGTGTGCCGAGCGATAGTCGTCTCGCACCTGGATCCACGGAACTTCTCCTGAGAGCACCTGTGAAACAAATAAGTACACTTAGCTGAGTTATTGCCAACATTACAACGAAACCTTGAAAACATCTGATGTAATTCAGAGGTATTTGACCTATAGAAACGAAGGCTCTTTCCATGGACCCTACAAAATATTAATTTCCTGTACGAGTGCCAAACAAGAGGAAGAGCGAGAGAGACAGCAGCAAGCTTAGCTCAAATAAAAATTGGTCACCAAAAGTCTCTTCGAAAGTCATCGACTTGCCATTGAAAGGATTCGACTCCTTCCGAAACACCCATGGGATATTGAATATTTCTCAAGAAACTCCCAAAGCCCTGTACTCCTATCGTAGCCACACATTTATACATTTTCCTTCGCGAAAATACATACAATTAATTACTTCGATCTACAATCTCGCAAACAACGTGTATCTTCGAGGCACGCAGTACATAACACGCTGCTCCATTATAATTTCCATTCCTACACAGCGCGTTACACGTAAATTGAACATTTCCTACCTAAATTCAAATGACCCTTGCGTTCGCGCACTACGCAGCGTACTCAAAGTCTCAGTGACTTCACACAATGTAACAGACAAAAAAGCAGGTATTTCTCGAGCTATGCAAATTCTAACAGTCGCATTGTCAACAACAAAGAAAAAAACCGAGCTGGACGCCTCGGCGTTTCCAGTTAAAACGCAGAAACAACGGAATTCGAAACTTCAGCTGTAGCTTCGTATATGGCGAACGATCTTGACGAGCGTCTACAGGCTGACATAAGCATCGGACCGGAAGCGTCAGACCTTTTGATACCGGTTCGACCAGATTATTATTCGAGCTAAGCATAAACAATAAGCAAAAGATTGGATACGTGTACATTATACGCGCGACCGAGTTGACTAGATATAATGGACGAGGGGAATGGGAGGAACGGAGTATCGAGTGTCCAGGTTCCCACGACATTTCATAAATCTATAATAAACCATTTGTGGCATTCATCCGGAAAACAGAAATAAGATTGAAAAGCTTCAGCAAGCGCCCGTACTTTACCAATACAGATATTACTATATATATACATACGTGACGACAGACCAGGGTCCGAGTGAGCCCCGGTACGTAGCAAATTGATAACAAATTGATAAAAAAAAAAACCGCACGATCATTGTCGATAACATTGAGAAAGAAGACGCGTACAGAGATACGCGGAGACAATAATGTATTACAGATCAGAAAAATACTACTAATACGATATAGACGTTTCGATTCGGGTACGCTTTGAAAAGAAAACTAGTATAGTTCTTTCGATGGCCTACGCTATGCGAATCTGACCAATCGTAAAATCACGCTCAAAGACGCACCAATCCGGCTCGGCCGCTTATAAGGGCAAAGGCCACATAAGAAGAGCCGAGACTATTTCAATGAGTCCGTTTGGCTTTCTGCACGTATGCAATATGCATCGATAGATCGCTGGACGTTGCAGCTATGGGATTGTTGTTTACCTCCTCATTACGAATCACATGACTTTTCTAGCCTGACCTCGCCGCTTAGGAATGAATGGTGTTTTTTTTCTATTTTTTTTTCTTTTTTTTTTTTCTTACCGATTAATTCGACCTACTGTTATCGCTATTCGCGATATAGTTAACATTGCGAAATATAACGTCCTTGCTTCGGACGCTTCGGACCTATGATATCATTCGAAATAGGACGATTCCTGTTATGCACACGCGCTGTATAATTCTTACGCGTGAGGAGCACGACAATGTATGACACATAGGTAATACATATAAATATACCGGGTGATAAAGTAGAAAAAATACTCACGTGAACAAAACAGCGTGGGTTACTGATCTAGTTACTTTTTTTTTTTTTTTATTATCCCGGTATACATACGCTATAAGTAAGAAACGCGTTGAAAAAATTCTATACATATAGTTAGACGGTACGAGCACGATAAACGTAATCTTTGCGTGTCTGAAACTTGAAAGCATAAACAGTAGTGAATTCCAGGTAGCGTCGAATAATACATAAATTAGGTCACGCGAATGTTTTTATGTAAAATGAAAGAAAAAAAAAAAATTACGATAAAAAGTAATCCTAGGAATAATATAAGATAAGACTGTAAATGCCCTTGAATTCGAATTTAGAATCGATTGACAGTCAAATTCTTAACAGGATCAGAGTTCACTGTTAGCCACAGTCATTAACCATGCACAGCATTGTGGATGGTGCACTAGGTCAAGGCTCGCCTTGGGCAACGCGAGGGTCGCGGCTAATAGTTAATGACCGTTCAACGTACGAGGTCGGTTCGCCGTAAGGATCGAAGCGTATAAACGAAACTGTAGTTAATACAAAAAATTTTCAATTTCTCGAGTCGCACAGTAGATTCGGGCGTACTTTTAATTCCGATCTCGTATAGCACGTGGGCAAGAGTCGAATGCGACGGGGGCTCGGAGGAAACGAGGAAGGAGACGAAGAGTGCAGGGCGCTGCTGTACCACGAAGTAGAAGCTGAATACGTCGTCAGCACGTAGATCTCCGAGACGGCAAGATGCTTTTTACGAGTCGTAGCAAAGCGAAGGGGACAGATCGACGTGTATCTTTTCCCTGAGAACAGGGTTACGTAAGGTAACGTCGCCGAGTCAACAGGATCGAGTGCCGGCGGACGGAAGGGGCGCAGCACGTGGCGGAGAATTGTGCAACGCACGAGACAATAAACCGTAGAGCAAAACACGATCGTGGCTGAAAAAAAGAGCGCCAAGTTCATTGGGCTGCCGAGGCCCCTCGCGCCCGGAGAAACAATCGATGCACGTAGAATCCAGATATATAATAAAATTGTATCACCTTGTAAAAGGACTTGCCGACGAGCACCCCCTGACCTATCGGACGTTACCTTGTCTCAGGATGCTCTCGTAGATTCTGTATGTGGTCTCGCAGTCGGCTTCCACGGGTCTGATGCTCCCGTCGAGACTCTGACTCCTGTTGCGAAAGTCCTCGTCGCGTTTCTGAGGTACGTCCTGGCACTCGCTCTGCCGCCTGATGTGCCCTAACCTCCTGCCGAAGTGCCTGATCATTTCCTGGATCGTGTGATGATGATGAGGCTTCTCGTGCTCCCCGGTTGGACTTGGCGAGGACGGCGAGACTGTGCCGCTTCTCGTGTGGTGATGATGATGATTGTGATGATGGTGGCTCTGGTGAGCCTGATGACCAGTTCCGTGAACGGTATGATAGATGGAATGATTTCCGTGCAAGGGATGCCCGAAGCCATAATTCGACGACCCGGAACCATGGGACGAGCCGTACGACGTCGAAGAGGCGTACGAGTGAGTCGAGCCGACGGAGCCGCGACTGGTTTGTCGGTCGTAGAGCAGCTTGTTTACGTCCTGAGGATGCTTCTGACCCAGGAGATCGTGCACCAGTCTTATGTCCGGATTGCAGGGTCGTGCCTTTTCCTCGTGGCCGCTCTTTGGGTCACTGTGAGCACCGTGACCGTGATGCGAGAGCAGATGGGTGATTCCGTGCATTTTTTTCCCTCCCTTTTGTATACGTTCAATTGTCAAAGATCATAAATTGGACTTTTTTGTCGATTGCTCATGGACTCATCGTACGTGACGATCCATCGTCGATCTTCTTCTAGAACGAAAGGCTTCTTCTGGTGTTCTTGAATACGATCGGCGATGTTGTTTTTTTTTATTGCCAGTAGACCTCTCTCTTGTAAGGTTACGAAATCCAGCTGTAAGGACATACTTTGTTTTTCTATTTTTCATTTTTCTATTTTTTTTTTGTTTTCCAAAAAAAGATTTCTTCACTAGACCACAAGCTCACTTATCGTGCCACTTATCACTGCCTCATGTATTTTAGTATACCGACGGTGGTAAAATCATCATCGACTGCAGCAGGGAGACGAGTGACATCCGACGCCCGAGAATTCGAGACGTCATCGGTCAAATGTCTTAAGCGCGCAATCCCGATGCTACCGAGTACAGTGACCAATGTTTTATCCGAGCTCGATTAGGATTCGTAAGCAAGAAGAACGGAGATTACGATTGAATGCAAAACGTTCGATGTCCCAAATATACCTACGTTATAAGCAACCTATGTATGGACGTGCTTGAGAAAGGGGTATTACGTAATGGGCACGCGTCACTTATACAAATAGACACGTCTCATTGCGCTCTTACTAGTGAATCTCATCTTGGCAAAGTGCTATTGTCACATGCATAAGTCATTCTCGTTGCGCAATCACTCGAGGCTGTCCAAATTGCAACAATGGCGTCAAAATGCATTCCCGGTATGATTCCATAAAGAGAATTCGAATCACCCTACGAGAGCTACGTGCATATCGAGTGACAGCGCGAAGCGCGAATGAAAAAGGACGAAGAGAAGGGATTTCGAAATATAGCGAGGCCCTTTTACACTATGGCAGGTGACCTTGGCTCTTTCGACGGAGTGTACCTGAACAGGGGTTGCGGCAGGAAACTTTAGGGCGGATCGATCAGAGCGAACGGGAGAGGTAGAATCCAGGAACGCACGTGGTGTATACCGTATCCTCCTAATACAGGAAACTCCTGTATTACTCCCGTGACGGAATTTCATTAGAAAATATTAATCACGCCTACAGTCCGTTTACGTCTCGGTTTCATAAAGTCCATTCTGACAGATAAGATCTTCGGAAGTAAAATGCGTACGTCACGTGGTTGACTCGTCGCGATGGAAAAAAAAAAAAAAAAAAATCAACGAAATACATAACCGACAACCGTAATCAAAGGACGATGAAATTATTTCAAAATAATTTTGCTCCTTAAAATTTTTTTTTCGCTATTTCACTTTTCACCGAACTCGTAATAACATTACGATAATTGAACATCGTCATGCGGATAACCCAGATAACCTCGATAAGCGTTACCTTCGTATCGTCAGTTACAATATGAGATTGTTATCGCCTAACTGACATCAGAGTTCGATGATTCTATTTACGACTGTGGCACGGCCTCGAGATTAAAATAAAATCATAAATAAAAAGGTCCTTCGTTCACGGCCACGTGTTCCCGACTGCCATACGAAGGAATCTGCGGATGTTGATTGGATTTGGGAAAAAAAAATTTATCCAGACCATGTGCGTCCTGGATTTCAGAAGTCGCCGAGTGATGTAACGTCCAGGAGCAAATTAACGGAAGGACAGACCAAGAGGTTGTCGAAGTTGGACATGAGTAACCAATTCGATAGGAGAGACCGGATGTGCCCGGGCTGAGAAAAATAAAAGTGGATGGAAGGACCAACAATTTCGTGGTATTTGGGTCGATGACGGGGAAGCTTCGGGAGAGTCTGTCGGATGAGTGAAACTGGGACGTATCGACCTGGAGTTTCTCCCACCGAGGGTACCGGGAGTGTCGTACCAGCTCATCCCACTTAGTCGTTGGGCACCACGAGGATCAATGCCGCTCCTGGTTCAGGCGCAATTTCTATCGTGCGAAATCGCTGCCCACTCTACTCAATATCGGCGAGATGAAGGTAGGAACCTTGAAATTTTCTTCGTTGCCCGTACGAGTTTTTGAATTTTTTTTATAGTACCGGTTATTACCTTAAAAAATATATATTTATAAAAGATATTTCGAAAAATTAATCAGAGATAAGAAATACCTGAGAAAAACGTAAACCCTTCGTATATGGTTTTAATCGGATGTGTTATGCGACGAAAAATTCATGGAGTCAACAAACAGCTCTGAGTTATATTAAATTCGTATAATCCGCTTGATCTCGGTAATCATTTAATTACGGATTACAAAGTCCTAGATAACGTCTAACGCGCACGTACGATTTGAAGGCGTGAACGTAAGACGAGATTAAATTCTTGCGATTCTCAATGTTATCAGTCGCCAAAGAATCCAAGATAATTACTCACAAGATCGATCGATCTTTGCCTACGAAGCAACGAATCGAAAATACATTATACATCGATGATCGCCGTGACACAATTCAAAGAGAGGACCGGCGGGAAGCTTCTGGCAAAATATCGCGTGTTAGATACAAAAATGGATTAGCCTAGACAAGAATCCCTAAGAGAGACGATTAACTGACGATTAGATATAATTTGACATCAATTGGGCGATTGCTCTTACGAAACGACAAGATTACGGATAAAAAAAATTTTCTTCGCGCGTCACTCCGTAATTGTTAATGAGCCGCGAGTTGTGACGCAACAACCACCAATAGCAATAAGTGCAACCACGTGCCGCAGTGTCGGTCGTAGCGGGCAATCAACCTTACAGTCCCACGCGTGACCATCGATGTGCCAGATAAACGAAAGTATGAAAAAAGATATAAAATATGCAAAAAAAAAAATAAAAAAAAAAGTATATCCAAAACTTGACACTCGAGTAATCAAAGTCTCTGAGTCGTGCCACTATCGAGCTGGCCGGTCCGCCTGAGACTGCAATGGATCCTAGAAACGTTCTGGCAAGGTGAAGAGAAAATGGCCATAGAGTCTCCGCGAAGGCCGCCTCAAAGTCGAGGGACAATCTCATAGCGCAGTAAATGGAGTTGAGCTAGGTCGTGATGAAAGTGCAGCGTCAACGTCACGAATGCACTCGGCGGCGAGCTCGTCGATAGCTATGATACAAATGTATATCCTGTCCTGTGGCATGGCATCGCGTACTTGAGAATTGCATAATTCAGCCAATTGATCAACCGCAGTCGTCAAGCTAGAATCGTGACTGTACGGCCGTTAGATACGAATAAAGAAGCGTCGGCGCGAATTGCACGCGAGCGATTTTACATCGGGCCAAGTAACGGCGAGGATGAATTATAAGAATTCGAGGCGAGTGCGAGCCCGTTCCGAGAGATAACAAACAACCATACTCGATTTGCTGTCAAGCCCTGAAGAGACGCCTGCGCTTGAAGGGGGAACGAAACAATAATAACAAGCAACTCCATGGATAACGACGGACGACGTAGAAGCGTCCGATGGCAAATAAAGGAAAGCGGAGCCGCCGCTCGGTGCCCGAAAGGCAATGCATTCCAACCAAGATAACTAATGCACACATTGCATCTTTGAGTCCGTATCTAACGAGGCGACTACGTCTTACTCCAATGTTATTGTTATCCGTTCCCATGCGGCAAAGCTTAGGTTGCATCAATGGAATGATCCGCGACGTTGCGAAGGAATGTGCAAGAAAAAAAAAAAAAAAAAAAAAAAAAAAAAAAAAAAAAAAAAAAAAAAAAAAAAAAAAAAAAAGAATTCAAAACCGAGCATTAAATCACAACTGACAACGAACCAAAAATAATATTCTTGGGTCGTCGACGCCACTGACACAATTATGCTCGTTATCGTAATTGCGCAATGATATCTACGAAAGAACACAAGATTCGAATCACAACCGGTTCCTCCGAGTGTGTCCATAGGTTTGGCACCGTACGAGGAGACACGTATAATAATTTATGACATTAATAAAAGTTCCCTGCCTATATTCCTTGAGTGCCGTGTCTATGAGAGACTTTCTCGTCACACGGTATATCGCGGAGGGAACAAAGTAAACAAACGGTTCTTGTTTTATTCATTCGCATTTATTTTTTCGTCCTCTGCCTTTTGAGACTTACTGTACGTGTAGCGGTACGCGCACGCGCACTGAGGCCTTATTGGCGAAACATGTGGTGCGTTCGGAAACACGATATTTCAATACGTCCTCAGAATAATACCGAACCCGAGGAGACCTTGAACCTACGTAATAGCAAATTCTAAAGTTATATTATCCGTGCCGAGAGGCGAGAAACCCTTTTGCGATATAAAATATCGTTAAGACAACACGCGATATTGGGTTACCCGAAATTCTAGCACGGTTAGAAAGCAAGCGTTGCAAGTATACGCGTATTTAACACGGGAATAGCCTATAAGGCACTATGACCAAGTAAACGCAGCAGTAACGTAAAAAACAAACCGAGCCAATTAATATAAAGGTGAGCCAAGCACATTTTCTTTGCATATATTACGTATGCTAATCGAAAGGGCGAATGCTATAAAATTCGTGAGATTGTAAACAAGAGAAAGAAAAACCAATCGAACGATGACAACATATACGAAGGTTATTGCTACCAGATAGCAGAGCTAACCTAGCCTACTATGCGCATATACGTCGTACGTATCAAAATCCAGTACAGCGCATAAAGTGCAAGTTGACAAATTGACCATTCATCTTCCTCTCGACCTTCCACTTTGGATTGTCTCAGTCTGCCAATGTTAACCTAACATTACCACTGCGTTTCATTACAGTACGCATAACACACAGTACGCTACCACCAATTAATTTCTCAATTGCGATGACGATACTGCCTGACGCCATGTTCGTCCCCATGAATTTTCAAACCCTAAGCGTGATCGTGTAGAATTGAAAAAAAAAAGTCTATAAAAAGATACATGCACTATATTCAATAACGAAACATCAAACTAGAGAGTTATACGTGTAACAGACTATAAAACCACGGAGCACTTCCGTTTCCGGTGAGTAGCAGCATGGCCCAGGATAACGAGTTGAGGAGAGTCGTGCGACCTTGAAGTTAAAAATTTTGCAGGATCACCTTGAGAAGCAGGACCACGTCGTACTGTCGTTCTCCCCCTCCACTCCATCCCCTTCCCATCCCTTTTACTTTCCTTATTTTCCCTCTCGCCCTTGAGGCTGCAGTCTGAGTACGTCGTTTGGTCGAAGAGACTCGAGCATTGTCCACGGCTTCTTTTTCTTCGACGAGAAGGATGAAGCATCACCCGTTAAAGTGCCTTCCACGTAACTCCACCCTATACACGGTTCGAAGTAATCAACGCAAAATGTCTCGATGCCACTACTGACCGCGATCGTTTGCCGTTTCGTAAGCGTTCGGCTAATACGATTGCACGGAAAGTGAATCATCGGTCAATAGTGATTGAATGCTAAGGGCTTTAGCGGCTATTTACATTTTACACGGGTCATCCCAGTGATTTACGAGTTTCGAGATACGTGGGAGCTGCGTCGCTTGAAAGGAGGCTCGAGCATTTCGATTTTTCAATCGAAATAAATTCTGCGCGTCGTCGTACGTGGCAATTGAAGATACCGCTTGAACGTATGACAATCAAAGTGAGCGATAGGTCGGTATACGTTTATAAATACAAAGAAAAAAAAAAAAAAAAAAAAAAAAAAAAAAAAAAAAAAAAAAGAAGAAGTGAGATTGCAGCAACGCGATTGGTACATGTTCAAGGAGACGCATTGAACGCACGTTTATGAATATATATAAAAGATAAATATATTTATATCGTTGTTTTCTTAGTTTCCAGTTAAATTAATTACATGAAAATCTTCACGATTCTACACGTTCGACGTACGAGCCCGTCCTTCGTTACTGCAACGCCGCCAGTAACTTAAACGACCCCGCGACCAATCTTGTCGCGCATGGAAAACTCGATAGACGATTTTCACGATCCAACTATTCCGAGACTGGCTGTTAATTCATCCCGAGGACGAGAAAAAGGAGTTAAGGCGAACGTTCACGGAGATCACTGCTTTCGTCGGAGTTCGACGAATATTTTTTACGTGTTAGAAATCTTTTTGACATATCATTCCGTACCGCGCAAATGATTTCACGTTGGTTAATTTATACGCGAATTCAATTATACGGTAGACATTACGTTTACTGGTACAGTGGCACAGGAGCATAGGTCCGATAAAAAAAAAAAAGCATGTTTTACGCAGGGAGGCACAAGACGAAAGAAATCGAAGAGAAATTTTCATCCTAATCACGAATTACTTTGTTTGAATTAAATTTCGACGTCATCGCGAGAACTATTTAGGAAAATTCCAGTAACGCGAGATCTGTGCGTCACACAACATTTCCTGTCAGAGGAGCAGGTATCTATCGTTTGCATATGCAAGAGTAGACACTTGCATTGGATACAGTAAATGTACCTACATATATGTTAATGTATATGTACACCTGTACATTTGATAGCGACAAACCGCAAGAAAACATAAACATCCTTTATACCTTATAGCCAATATACGTATATGCACTGTTATAGAAATCAAACTGCGTGAATAATTCGTACCTCTCTCCAACACGATAACTCCAGAGCCGACCGTTCATACGTGTTTTCACAGGTAAGGCGCTTTTTTTTTTACAGAATAAGATTCAAATTTCCCGCGCATTGCTAAGTTCTCGGCATTGAGGTCACGGCGACGTAGAGGATCGCGCTAATTGGTCAAAAAGATTGAACGTACGATTAAGGCGACCCTATACCAAGGACCACGAGTTAATAAAATTATTAGAGCCATACAGCGCGTATAATAGACGGCAATGATCGTCTCTCACATAAGTAGCATAAATGTGTAATGACTCACGTAGTGTCATTGATCGTGTGGCAATTTTGAAATTCTCAATGAGCCCGAATTGTAACACACGACGCTCTAAGGCTTGTTTCGATTAATGGCTGATCCCCATTAACGGACACGAACGATGCCGATGGCTTTTGAAAATGATATTTATTGGTATGCATACGTAGACGCGAGTCAGCGAAAGTATCATGCAAATGCGTAGGCGTTTTGTCAAAAAAAAAAAAAATTCATTTCAAAGCCATTGTGTCGAGCGAAATTTGAATAAAAGTCGTCAGATTACGAATAATGAGAGATTCACCCTGGCCACAAAGTGCCGCTACCAACTGAACACGCAAATAATTTGGATGTCGGGCGGGGTTTGATAAAAATAAAATTTGCTACAAGATTCCTGTACGCGACTATATTTACATAGAATGGCAGAAAAAGGAGGTAATGACAAAGCTATTATTTTGTGTTTGCGAGATATACGGCGTGGGGTGTGGTCTTTTTGTATGTGGAATAGCCTAGTGAAGAAATCTTTTTATTTAATTTATTTTTAAGTAAACATCATCGATATCGGCATGAAATCATTATTCGATCATACAAGGGACAATACGATTATTATATTGTTATCAATAATGTCACAAACGAAGTTACGTCGTTTGATTTCATTGAGAAGTCCGAGATTATTAATCGAAAAACCGTATTTCATGCGAGCGATGGATAAATTTACTGAAGCTTACCGTAACGTGGTTGAGAGTCTTTTTCTTTTTCAATTTTTGTTTTTCCTTATCTTTTTATTGTTATTCAATTATTCATGGAAGAGGGGCATAGTTTTGTTATTATTACGATAACACTCGTTTTATACACGACACTCGTAAGTAGTGAGTGTCTTTGGCAAGATTTAGAGAAAAGTTCATCAGAAGCAAACGAAGGACTCTTAGGAGTGAAACGTAATATTTACGACAGAAGGAAGTTCAGCGAATCAGCCGGTTCCCTGATATTGATGTCGTTGTAAGAACATTTGTGTCCAAAATAAATGACTTTGAAATCTTAATATTATTAAACAAACATAGTAATATAACATGGCAGAGAACCAAAAACTATTAACATTTGAAAAAAAGCGTAAATCGATCAAAATGACTTGACCACGAAAATAAGTCAGTGAAGGCGCATCGGTAAAGAAAGCACGAATGTTATGCGGCAATATTTACATGAACACTCGCCTTGACATTGCGAGTAACAGAATTGAATATACATATGCTAGTTCCACATTAGCCTCTGATCTATTAGTTCACATATCGTCTAAATCGGATCTAACGGAAGTCGAGGATTTAAAAGACCCGAAAAATGTTGAGTAACAATTCAGAACCAACACGTAAAACAGCGGAAGCACTCGCGACCAAGACGTGGATCCGGACTCCACGCCGTGGACACAGAAAGTCACGTATACAATAAGTCAGGTACTGTAACAGTTAATGATTATAAACAAGACACCAGCTGCGGGACAGGTCATCTGCTTAACCTGGCGACACACTTCTATCACGTCGAAGTCCATTCGCGACGACGTCTTCGTTAAGAATATTTCGGAACGACAGCCGTCGAGTGAGGATCCTCACCGAGAAAGAGATATCTTCCCGGAAATCGAGACGCTACACGAGTACGGCCTCCTTTTCTCTCTCATCGATCGACAACTCTTCCTTTCGGCATTCGTGCAGCTCGGCTAGTACGCTATGACGCGACGTACCTTCCCGTACGCGTTGCGGTATAAAAACAGTCTGAGGCGCAGGTCTCCTGTATTCCAGGTCTCCGACTTGATTCGGAAGTGAGAGCCCTCGAGCCACGAGGAACTAGACTGCGCGGTTCTGCGCAACCTATGGCGCATTCGCGGCAACGACACTGGTGACACCTATCGGCAGACACCTTAAGCTCGTTCGCGAATTACGGTCAACCGCCGTCGGTAAAGTAACAGGTTATCTTCTGAACAAGCGCATACGTGTGAATTACTGTCATTTCTTTATAACTGTCCCATATATTATGAAGCGAATTTAAATAATGGTAACGAGTGAGCACGGCCAAAAGGAAAAACATGGAATATTTTTCCATTAAATTTGTCACAGACAGCCATTCGAAAACGTGGCAATGCAGTTGGCTCTTATCCCATTTCAGTTTGTGTGAAAAACGAACAGACACTAATTACGCCCACACAGCAGAGAAAGTGGATTCTACGTCGTTCGCTATTTCCACGTATTTCAAAGTAGTTGATGAGGACGCACCGATGAAACATAAATTAGATACTCGTTAGCGACATCAAAAGGGGTTTCACCAGTTGTTAGTTCGATCTGTTCTTTAATAATTCGCCCACGCCAACGAAATTATTCCTACAGCAGTAATACGAGCTGCATGGAAAGAGCATTCGTTTCTACGTTAAAATGTAAACCTAAGACCCACTATAAGAAGGTAAGGCAGTAGACTTGAAAATATTCCTTGATACCATTACCATATGGCTATTCTGATAGCCATCGTCTGCACACCAATTCCAAGATAACACAGCCGAATGACTGTTAGAACGATATTATAAAAAGATCAACTGTCATGGTTACACTTACTCTGGACTGCTACCTGCGACTGATGTTGGGCCGCTGCTCTCTGTAAGATAAACACAAAGAGAGATTTAGAAAAACAATCGAGTTCTCGTTACGAAATATCGTGTCAACGGAATACTCCGTCTGACCGAACAATGAAAGTTCACGATGAAACACAACGAGTCCGTACATTTTGTAATATCAGTCGTATCCCTGATGTCTCGAGACTCTTCGAATCCAACGATCGACTCCTGGGCTTGGCGCCAAAGTAATCCGCCCCATCCTTCTTGCCACTTTTTATCCAACGGAAGTACGAGGACATTTTATATTGTCCTGGATGCTACACATCCGTGTCACAGTGCGAGCTAAGTAATTTTTGTCTTTTTCTTTTTTCACTACAAATAATACAACACTGCCACCACGATTTAGTTCTAACTTGGCGAATCGTATCAAGGTGAGATTCGTCGAGGCTAAAAGAATTTCGCAAGAATCGTTTAACATTGTGCCCCGGATACGTTAGTCAGGCAGAGAGCAACAGACAATACTGTCTATCCTACATGACACACGGCTGTCTATATATACGAGGAACACGTTATAACCTTATGACACGCAGAGCCGAATAACGCATAATGAAACAATATATCGAATACTCCCATAACGTTTCCCCAGAATTCCATTTAATCTCGGCAGCGACGTAGGCGATCGTACAAAATTAACCTCTAGGACGGCCGGGATTTCTTAAACATCTACAATCTTTGGACTTGAAACTTTAATACCTATAGGAAAAATACGAGACCGAAGTGAAGCCGAAAAATCGTCCAAGAAAAATGTTCACGCGACGTCCGACAGAGGGACAAGGTGCAACAGCGAGCAGTTGCGGTCACCCTGTAATTTGGTGATAAATAATCCCACGGCATCGCGGCCTTAAGCAACACACGTCTCTCGGCCGCTTCGGCGGCCGACTGCATTGTGCATAAACGGTGAGCGAAGCGACGCAACGTAAACGCACGTATAACATCCAGACAAAAGTGTCAGCATCGCCGAACGTTTTTCCCATTCACGCAAACAGAGACGCGAATCTCGATGTAAAATCGTTCACCTCTTTTTTTGTCACTGCGACCTAACTTAACCTTTCCAACCACTGGGAACATGACGCGCATAGGCTAAGAAGTTCACTTTCTTTTGACTCATCCATCTAACGCTCGACGTATGAATATTTAAAGATTCTAGACAACGCCTATAATTATTAACGCAATTGCCACGTAACGCGTATCCGATCCAATAAAGATTCATGGGAAAACGCAAGATAAGTCATTTCCAAAAAAAAAAATTTGCAAAACTAACAAAAATTTCAATCTCACCCGTCGCCCACAATGCCGTCGCAGTGACTTCTATCGGACTTATTGTTAGTTGCCTTTGAAGATTTAACGGCGCTTGTACTAACGAGCAAAACCCATGTGGATTAACCCAGTAGCAAAATAAACGTAATGGTTACCCGTGGAGTGACTAGCTGTTATCAACGGCCTTCGACGAAGCAGCATGTTTTCAATTATTACCGTCGAGCTGTAATAGCACCTATATACATATATACACACGCATAAACCAACACGTTGTTCTCCAAGAGGCTAAAAAAGATTGCAAGATCCCGTCCGTATTAAGAATAAAACTAGACAACTAACCTCGCGCCAGGGCGACTGTCAATGAAAATCCGCGAGTACCTGGAAAGTCCCATACAACGGTGCGCAGAGCGTAACGCGCATGCGCGCCGAGCGTGAAAGGCGCCCTGAAAACGGGTAAATTCAAACGTAAGCCGATACACGTGGTAAATAAAGCTCGTACTGTCTTACGTAACTCCCTCGAAACCCTAAGTACGCGCGCAGATGTCATTCTGCCTGTACGTGACTGTAGAGAAAATGTGGAAGAAGAAATTTTTCAAAAATCTGAAATCTTCCAAAAACTTCATTGCAAAGCACGTTCGGTCTCCGTGTCTCTTGTTATTCGTGTACATAAGCGTACATCGGGTCTTACGGCAATATTGACTGAGAGCCACTGTATCGCGAGGGACCGAGCGACGCGCAAATACAAAGAGACAAACGTCCAATTATTGACTCACGTGTTCCACATGCGACAGGTGCGAGACACTCGCGTCGCGATGTTAATACGTCTCCGGTATCATCTTAATGGGGGATAAACGATTCCTTGGTCTCTGACGTCGTGCGAGAGTCCCGCGCACAATGGTTAGCCCAGTTAGCGACGATAAATTCAAAACGATGAATATTGCCCTCACTTATGTATACCGACTTGACCGCGAGAGAGTCGTTCGTCCTGTTAATTTGCAACGACAGTTCTGAATTAAGTCACACGCGGCAGGTACAAGGCGACCGAGCGTATATTGGTGCTACATTAAAAAAAACACAAAAAATTATTCACCACGAAAACTTTCTACCGGTACGTGTATCTTCCTGCCGATCGCAATTAGCATGGCGAACGGTACAAGAACGATTCTCGTCCCAATTAACGTAACTCGGAGTACAACGATACGCTCTCGAGTCCTTGCGCCCTACGAAAATAGACATAGGCTGTATCGACGCGACGCATCGTTCGTCCTTTAACGAACTTCGCGATCGTTCGACGTGCAGAGTTACCTCCGATGCTCTTAACGCAGCTTCATTGCCCCGGCTCGCACCGATCGGGTTAATTAACCTGGCAACGATCGACCTATTATTTTTTCGCTAGGCGCACCGGGCGCAATTTGTGCATCGGGAAGTGCGGACGGAGGCAAAAGAGCGATGTGTTGAAAAAGAAACCGAAATCCAAGTAGCCCGAGCCCCATACGTAATTCCGAGGTAGCACGGAGGTGCGTAGGGAAAGAATGTGAAGAATTTTCCTGAAGCGCGTATCGTATTGTTATCCTAACGTGCCGCGATGGTTTCCCTACGATTTTCCATCTCTTTTCTTTCGTCCCCGTCCCAACGTACTGTTGCCGCTCGTTTCACTCGTCTCCCTTACTCTTACACTTTGCCAGGCCTCCCGACGCTACCGACCACGGGTCTCGCTCGACGGGCAAACAGCTCGGGCATTTCCATTGCAAATGCCGCATTGTCGGTAACCCGGGATGACATCGTACGATCTCGCTTTCACGAGGCTGACACACAACAAAAAAGACAGTTACGAGCTCGAACCCGAATTATGCAATTTCTCGGGTCGATTGCACGGGCGCCGCTCGTTTCTATCGCGGTATTCCCATTAATTTTTTATTACTTGAAATTTACCGATAATCCAAAAAATATATATCAAGGTTGTACACGTGCGCCGTGTCACGTTTTGGTTTATTTAACGATATTGACATTGGAATTAATGATTATCGATGAGAG